AGTGTATACATCAGATTTTTTTATTACATTTTATGATCTTTTTCTTTTTAAAATTTCATTTGATCTAAATTGTCATAATCCACTGTAAACTTTTGTAAAAATTTATATGAAGAATCGAGCAATGTTTAGTCTTTTAATTGTGTTTTACTTTATTTTATGCAGTATTCTTCTGATATCAAGAATGGGTTCAGAAGTATATGTATGTGTGTACACATACAGATATGTATGTACGTACATGCACACATGAACACATACATCTCTAAAGACCTGTTCCTGATAACAGTATCATTTATGCTTTTTTAAACATTGTAAAGGTTATCCATACAAATTCTATGTGCATTAATATTTTTATTTTCATCATTTTATAAAAGTGCTTATATAAATAAAAGCTTTCCTTTCCTACTCAGGAGTTTCAGCATAAAAATGTAAAAATATTAAAAATTGAAATTAGTCAAAGAACCTAAAACTTAAACTATCTAATTAAATATATATATTATCAATAGTTCAATAACCTGAATCATGTTCTTTAAAGTAAATTTGGAATTCTTTGAAATAGGGATTCATAAGATTAGCAGCTATGGTGTAAGTGTCAGTGCAGCAAGGGGACGCTCAAAATACATGGCGGCTGAAAGTCATTTCAAGAGATTGATGGTAGGGGGAGAGGGAAGACCTTCAGACTCCTCCCTCCACTCCACACCATATCTTCCTCAAAATTTTGACTGAAGCTTAAAAGTTAGCTAGGTTCAGTAATATGCCAATCACATGTGATATTAAAGAGGTGCTAGCCTAGCTTCTACTTGTACATGCAACTGTATAGGAATTTTATTTTTTCTAGGTATAATGTATGTTTCAGCTAGTTTACTTTGTGCAGTCTTTCGTTAAAGTTTAGACAGATAATTTTCATATGCTTTGGTCATAATCAGGCAAATAAACAGCTTCATGATTATTCAGTGGATTTATCCATGTGCGTTTGATAACTGCCAAGTGTTACATTTCGAAAAGGCCATGATCATGTTTTAGACTTTTAAATGTATGTCATAGCTGCCAACTCTTCCTAGTTTTTATCACGTCTCAGAGTTTTATATTAACTGAATACCTAATTTTTAATTTTTAGCCCTTACTTTAAAATATATATATATATCAGCTATAAATGAATTTATCAAACGAGTTAAACTTATGAAGATAAAAGAAATTGTGCCAATCCCATCACACACTTAATAATTTTCAACATAATTTTTATTATTTTACTAAATCAGAATTATTTTCTGTGGACATTTATAAGACTTTTCAAGGAAGTTTCATCAGATAATATTTATATTCAATTTTGTTTTATATCAGTATACAATACATTATTAATTTTATCAATACAATAGTAGGCACATAAATTAATACCCTATTTTCCTTACCTATTCCCTCCTAGAGTTTTAGCTCTAGATTCTGAAAAGTTTTAAAATAGTCAGATAATTTCCACTTTTTTCTATTGTAGATAGTATTTTCTCTGAGGGCTTGTTTATTGGTAAATCATATCCCCTTGATTATTATTTTTATTCAGTGTTTTTGTAATTTTGTATTAGTATTTCATCTATTTTGTTTTCCATGCATTTATAATTTGAAATGTATTTTGTGCAGAATCTTCATTAAGCTACCAGATGTGGCAGATGTTCTCACACTTGAGAAACTTTCTAAATGTGTTTGTCTTTTTCTGTTACTTATATTCCAGCTCATTGTAAGCTTTTTGACTGCCGATGTGTTAAATATTTAAAAATATGGGGTTTTTTGTTTGCCTCTTCGTTTTCCTCCAGTATCCCTCTTGGGTACTGCATTCCAGATTCCTTCATATAAGACAGCCTTAAGGCTGTACAGGGTAATTGAACCAGAGTACAAACTGTCTTGCTCAATATCCATCAGATATTGCAGTGCTCCGCAACCTTTTCTCACCTGCAACGCACAAAAAATCTTTCTGGAATTTCGTGGCACACCAAAAGCTAATGTATATATCTATTGATTTATACACAAAATTTAAAATAAATTTTTGTTTTTAATTTGAAAAATATACAATTATAAAACCATAACATATTTATTTATATGTAATCATAATAATTATCAATGTGATACCTGCACTTAAAAAAAGTTATATATTTTTGAGTTGAGTTATCAAGGAAGTGCCGAAAAAATTCAAATGCTGACACACTTACAATCACACACACAACCACACAACAGTGAAATATATAAAAACATTTAAAATAGACATTATTAAGGAAAAAAAAAATGTCATTGTGTATTAAATACATGATAAAAAATTTCAAAATGTCAAATACATGTATTTGACTGCGGCACACCTATATCCTACTCATGGCACACCAGTGTGCCGCAGCACACTGGTTGCGGAGCACTGAGATATTGTTACTAGCTATTCTTATATTTTTGGAAATGAACAGGCAGACAGACTTGCCAAGCTCCAATCACTTATGGCCCAACATGATTTCCCTTTGCCTTTAGTAATATTAAAAGAATTATATATATAATAAAATGGGAAATAAGAGAATATCTGTATATGTTGATGCAGCAGTGAATAAGAAGTGGAATATCTTGCTCAACAAAAGAAATAAAGTCTTCAGTTTCTTAACTAGGACTATTGGAGTTGCTTGCTTTCATTTGACAACCGGCCTAGGTTATTTGCAGTAATATTTACATTAGATTGAAGTTAAGAATTCAGTTTGTTGCCCTCTATGTCATTAGAGTAATATGGATGGTGACATCAAGAACTGCTCTATTACTTTAAAGTTTATTACTCTTACAGAGTTCTCAACTCTATCAAGGCTAATTTTTACCCTTGCTTTTTTACATTCTCATCATTTTATTGGGCTGTCTATTGAGTAATGCCAGAAATGCTGAAGACAGACATAGGATTTAAAAAAAAAAAAAAAAAAAAAAAAAAAAAAAAAAAAACTATGCATTCTTATTGAATGTAGGTTTCTTTTAAAGAAATAGTACAGTAGTTTTTTCACAACTACTTTTTCATCTGTTATTTTTATTGTAAGAGCCTCCTTCTGAAATTGCTTGCATGACTTTTGTTTTGATTTCTGGACGATAATATAAGTTAAAGGGGGAAATGTGGTAATTTTATTTAAAAGTAAATAAATAAATGCCTTTTTCTGAATTTTCTTTCTTGAACCCATAGGAAAATAGCAAAATGAAATTAGCCAAAGAATACAAGTTTTGCAATATCTAATTAAATATTAATGTATTTTGCATCAGAATGATTTTATAAGTACTCCAGTAACCTGAGTCATACATTATAAAGTGAATTTCAATATTCTTGGGTTTCTTTAGGAATAATGTCACTATTGTGCACAAAAAAACTATTTCATATTTCCAAATCGGCAGCTATGGTATATAATTGTTTCTTTGTATGTAAAAATGGGAAAAGACAACATAAGAAGCAGCTTATAACCAGAGTTTTGAGGATACCTGCATATTAACACAATCACCATGGCACGATTTTGTAGATTCAAAAGAATGGCGGCATAAGTTGTTGTTCATTTCAGTTGCAAGAATTTACTTATTGCGTATATATTTTACATTATATACCATTTTTATTTATGTATTTATTCCAAAATGTCAGCTGATAAAATTACATTTTTTTCCCTTTTGTTCTGTTCAATATTTACTGTAATTTATTCCACTGGTGGAAAATTTAGAAGTGCATGTTTTAACTCTTTGAGTGTCAGGGGCTTATCCCTGAAATTTTAATGTTCCTTAAAATGTCAAGAATAGATAATATTTTCTTGATTAAAAATGCTCTCACTTTGTATCTTCATTTTGTTTCTTCCAATTTACATCCAACTGTAAATCGGATACATTAAAACATGGCTTAAATCTTCTTGTGTAATGAATGCGAAAGCTGCAGTTCCATACAGAATTTTCCATACATAATGCTGATAGGGTTAAAATTGAGTGCAAGTCAAAAAAATATCATCTGTCTGTGAAAACCATCTGAACTTGGAACACAACAAAAAGAATGCATACAAAAATGGCAATGTTGCTTGGCTGGAGAATTAACAGTATGGTTACCTGAAGAATTGTTATGTGCATGATTGTCAGAGTTTGATACATCTGGAAAATTTGGTGACTTCTACTAAGGTGGTTGCACTAATATGTTAAGTACCATTTTGTAAAGCTGACTTCACTGGGATAGTAATTTTCACACATTTACCAAAATTATTAATGTTTATAAATGGGATTTCACACATTTACCTAACTTGTTTTATTCTCTGGTTAAAAAACAAATATTTAAATTTTATTGCCTTTCATATTTGTCTTCTTTTTTTTTTTTGAATCCTCTTTGCAGACATCACATGTTCAAAATAATGATCATAAAAATATAAATGCTCTGGAAAAATTTTCTGTAAGCTGTATTGAAAGCTATTAAGCAAAATTTATAAGAAAATTTCTCCCCAATGTCTTAATTTTTTATTACTTGCATATCAGCATAACTATCCTAGTAGAAGTTGCCATATATTTTTAATTGGCCAAATTCTGGCAACCACATGCAGAACAACTTGGCAGTTTAAGAAGCAATATTATTATTTTCGTATTTTTTTTTTTTTTTTTTTTTTTTTTTTTAATTTGCACTTGTGGGATTTGCTTGAAATCAAAGAAATTGTAAAATTTCTGAGGGAATAGAATATTTTGCCACAAAATCACTGAATTAAACAAATTTCTTTGAGTTTATTTCCAAAGCAATCACCACAAAATTTCTTGCCCAATAAAATAAAAAAAAAAAAAAAAAAAAAAAAAAACTATTTTTATCAATAGTAAAAAAAAAAAAAAAAATGTTCTCTTAGTGAGTAAGTCTTATATGTAAGTAACTTTTTTTTGGGGGGGGGCAATATAAATATTCTTTGAGTTTGCAAGCACATTAATGGTAGAGGCATTTCTTGATTTTTATTATCATTTTTAAAACACTCTATGCTGAAATGTTTTCTGTTTCCATTCAGGTAGTCAATCTGATGTTAATAATGCTTTAGAAATCATTCGTAGAAAGTTCCCACCATCTCAGTTTCCTACAGTAACCTTAGTACAGACAAACTTGGTTAATTCTCACGGCTTGCCTCTTCCAGAATCATTACAGGTATATTATTTTAACAAAATACTTGGAATTCTTTTTGCAGTGCAGTGATGTTCATTTGTAGTACCAAACTGTATGGTTTTATTATTATTATTTTTTTATTAAGAGGCTATCTTCTACTTTGGAAGCGTATGTATCTGTTAGAAATTATCTTTCAAGTTTCATGAAATAAGCAATTTAAACTATCATTTTGATTATTCCATATAATTATTGCTATTTTATAAAAAATTATCTGCATTATTTCTTAAATTTTAATATGTCCTATGAGTGCAATTATGATTTTTTAAACCCATAATGTGCATTATTTTTTAATTCAATTCTTTTTTTGGCATAAAATTATATCCAGCATTAGAAAATTATTAAAAAACTTTAAAAACAATAGAATTTGAAAAGAATTTTATATAAAAAAAAATTAAGATTTGTGCTTCAATTTTAGACAGGGTATCTCTAAACTCTGCATGGAGACTTTAAGGAAAGGTAGAGAACGTTGATGTGAATAGTATTCATGTAGTAAAGCAGGATTGGAAACAGGTGGCCTCTCTATGCCAGTGTTTTTAGTCAACAAACATCTCAGGCTTCCTCATTAAAACTTTGTGATGTCCTACAAAAAACATGCTGAGTTGGCGGGCATGTGCTTTGTATATTACTTAGCTAAAGGTAATGGACGAGTTGCTGTAAAAATATATCAAAAAAGCTAACCAGCTAGTCATGTGTAATGTGCATAAGTACGCATTGCTGCCAGTGGTTGGAACTTTGAACAGTCGTGAAACTGTATTCAGTGCTTGTCTTCTGTTGCAGCCTTGGTACCAAAAAAAATGCACTTTGTTGCCAGATGTTATAAGCAGGGCCTGGATTTTGATGATATGAAGACTTAATAATTAACTGAAAATGCACTTAAAATGGAAAAAATGCCCTCCCCCTCAAAAATGCCATAAAAATAGCATTGTTGACAAATGGAATTAATTTGAATTTTATTAGTAAAAGTACAGTTGCCCAGTGTCTTCTACATTCGTGGCATTCCTAATCTGATAGTCCCTTCCTAAAAATGGAGAGATTCTAGGTCCATTGGCCATCTCATCTCCGACTGACTAGCTGCGCAGAAAAAGAAAATAGATTTCATCAAGGTAGGAAAATGTATTCACATAACTGAGTGTATAATTCAAAGAATTTCCCTGTATATGTAATCCTATTAAGCTGGATATGTTGAAAAGAGATAAGAAATGCTGGTGTAGAAAAATTCTTAAAAGCAACTCTCATATCTTGTAGAAAAAGCTTGTTGGAGTAAATAGGACTTCCAGTTTATGTATAGTTTTCTGTAGATAAGGCATGCCTCCTTAGTAAAAATGAATTCACAGGAGTTAGACAGTGATATTTCATATATAATTTAATTTTTCAGTTTGATTTGCAGAATGTGCCTCAAAATGCTCTGGAATGCTAAAAAAAAAAAGGTCCTAAAAGCCCCCAAAATGCTCTAAAAACTTCAAAAATGCTTTAAAAAAGTAAAGTAATGAAAAAAGGCTTATGTCCTTAAAACTGGGGCATGCACAAAAGTGAAGTCAACCACAGTAGACAGTTGTTCACTCAATATATACACAGCATAAGTTGTTTAATGTATGCATATAGAAGTAAGTTAATATAAATTTGTTTTCATTACAGTACTTTATACAATTTTATCAACAGTTTGTTTAAAATAGCATGTTTCAACAGAACTTATTTAATATATACATTAATTATATTTGATGCAATTGTATAAACAGTTTTAAAATAACAACATATACAGTACAAAGTCCGTTATCCGGACTCGTTGGGACTTCGGCGATTCTGGACTAGGGGTTTTTTACGGATTATAGATCGTCAATTTAAATCTGGTAAGATGGCATGCAGAAATTATACAATTAAAAATATGAAACAGTCATTTATAAAATAAAGAGTTATGATTTAAATGTGTATCAAAATTCACAAAAAAAGCTTAATATTTGTTTACTTTAGTAAACATTTCTTTCAATGTAGATTGTTTAAGTTGCTTCATTTTTTGTGCTAATACTTTCTCTTTAATTCTATAAACAGACATAATTACAAAGTTTCACTGTTCAAGTCCTGTAATTGCTGTATCGAGAATACCGACTAACTTGTCAATAGAAATTTTTTTGTTTTCAATAACATTTTCTGTTACTTTCTTCGCTATCGGAAGCGCGCATGGGTAAACGCTTTACACGCATGCATAGCGGATGTGCGCATCAAACACGAATGCGTAAACGCTTTACGTGCATGCGTAAGTTTGTGGCTTTGAGGTCTGGATTAGGCTTTGATTAGGTCCGGATTAGGTTTGTGGCTTTGAGGTCCGGACGTCCGGATTACGGACTTTGTACTGTATAAACATGAAAGAAAATTGTATTTATTCTTTTATTTAATACAATTTTGTTAGCAATTTACTTTAAAAAAAATACCAGAAAATTCATTTTTTACAGACTCTTTCTGTTGACTACAGTTAAGCAATTGTCTCTAATAATGCCTCAGACATCAACTATAGCTTCTTTTTCTGTTATCTGAAAATAGTAAGCATAATGTATGTTTTACAAGGAAAAAACCACTGTATTGAAACAATGCAAATAAAAAAAAAAGTAAGATGGCTAACCACTTCTTTTTTACACATGCACAGTTTAGTAACTGTCGTACATGTGCAAATGAGTAATCATTTGTTTTTCATCAATGCAAAAATGCAAGAAATCAATGTTCTCACCAAAGCTACAACCAAAATATTCATGTTCTTTGTCTACCAGTTATTCTTTTAAATTTTACCTAATAAAACACTGATTTCTGTATTATGTGTAATGTATTATCCACATGTAATGATAATGCTTTCTTGTGTGAATGTGTTTCACTCTGATGTTCTGTATTTGCCTTTATTCAAGGTATGTGTCTAAAGTTTCTAAAAACCCTATATACATAGCTACCAAATCTTTAATTTTTTCATCACATCTTGTGGTCTCCCATTGGATTACCAAATTTCGTGTTTTTTTTTTATTTTTTTATTTTTAGCTTTTGTTATGGAGAACTGCAAAGGAAAATATTCTCCAATGATTAATGAGTTATATTGACTTAATGAATCTTATATGGTGCTAATTTATTTATTCTCCACACTTAATCATTTTCAGAATAATTTTTCAAGTTGCATTTTATTAGATTTGAATTCTCTGTATACTGTAGACTTTTATAAAACTTTAATGAAAGTTCAGCAATGTTTAATCATTTAATATAAGTGTTTAATTTTATTTATCATCTATAAATGATACATTACTAAGTTTATTCACATTATTATATGCATATTAATGAATTTTATTTTCATGATATTTAAAAATGTTTTGATATATAAAACATACAGGATTTTTCCAGTACAAAATGTTATAAGGAAACTACAGAATAAATTATCAAAATAAGGTAAAATTCAGATTGCTGAATTAATATATTTTATTTCAGAATATTATAAATATTTCAGTAACATGAATCATGCAACATACAGTGAATTTAAATAAGCTTGGAGTTTTTTGTAAAAGCATCGGCATGCATAATCCCCCAGAAAGTCCTACACTTTTTAATATTTCAAAATTGGCAGCTATGCTGTATATAATTGTATAATAATTCTAAATATGTATTTTGCAAAAGTTTTCAAATATTTTGAGATACAAAAGTATCTCGAATATGATGCTATTTTAACCTCTTCCCAAGTCTTATTCAGTATGCTTTGCCCTGTTGTGGACCTACATATCAAATATGATGTGGGCCACCAGCAGCCGCTTCCATATCATATTTCATACAATGCATACTTCACATAATACGAATAAACATTATGAAAAAGAAACATTAACACTTAAGTAAATGAAGCATTTTATTTGAAATGTTCAAAGTGTACGAGAAATCGGAATGGTGTGAAACTTGTTGAATGCAGCGTCTTGAGTGGTAACCTTGTTATGAGTACTGCTTACAGTTTTCTTTTACAAATGTAAATTATGCAACATGTATAATACATGTTCATGATTTAAAAACATTTTGTCTAGGTGGCATAAAATTTTATCTATAAGTAAGTCAATAAAATACAATATGCACTGATATTTAAATTACGAAGTTTTCTACTATATTATTGTATGTCAATATTCCAAATACATAAATATAGGTATTATTGTAAGTATTAGGACCTTTATAAATATTTTAAAAATAATGTTAAGGTAATATGTGCAAGAATCTAAATATTTTGATAAAAGGCAGATATTGTAAGAATTATTCTTCCATGTTAGGCTTAGTTGAAAAATGCACTTGGGCGTGTGGTGACATTCTGTGCTCCAGGATCGTCAACCAACAGGGAACTTCGTTCATCCCTGTGCCTGAATGGCCACATACTTAGTGTGCTTTAACATATTCAAATAACCTAATGTAACCATTCTGTGCGGGGAATGAAAAGTTTAAAATAACTTGGATATATCTGGTTCAACTGGGAAACAATGGTTTAATGGAGGTTAATTGTACAGCTCATGCTCTGTTTTAATAACCAAAATCACTTATTACATATTTCAATCTTTATATGATAGTCAGATTTTATAATGTGCAGAGAAAGGTATAACATGTCTAATATTTAAATTTGATAGTTGCCATGTATCACGTTTTGATGCTAGTAGCTTTGATTTGATTCTGAATAGCTGAATTGCTAGTGCATATTTGAGGACAAGATAGAGAAATGAAAAAAAAAAAAAAAAAAAAAAAAAAAAAAGTCCTTTGTTAAGATAATTTTTAATTTCTGTGCTGTAATAAGCTTCCAATTTCTTTAAAATCTAAATGGAATTAAAATGCTTTGTAAAGTAATGTAATTTCATGCAATTAAGTTTCCTGACTAGGTAGCAACACAACTGAAAAAGGTGCTGGCACATGAGTTGCATATATAAGCATTCTATAATCTCTGCAGAATATTTTGTATTTTGCATCTTTGTTAGATCAAATTTTAATATGAAAAA